CACATATTCATGAAAGTAAAGAATACTTTTCAGTTGAAGCTATGATGACCATATACTAAAATATCTGTCTATAATCTAAGTGAATGTATTGTTTGAAGTTTTATTTCATATCTCATTAAAGTCTATCAAGTAATTTGATGGTTACTTATGCTTTATTTATATCCTCAAATAGTCAATAATTAAAACTTAATCATTTAGATGTTCGACCACTTGTAACTAATTTCAATCAACAACCGTTAATTCGTAGTTCAATTATTAATGATTCAAATCAAATAGGAAATAATTTCAATGGTGATAATGTATGTGTCATACAGAACAAAAATTGTTTAAAATATCTTCTTATTTTTGTCTAGCATTCTCCGTTACCGATAAAAAATAAAGATCATGAAAATGCTGAACATATACAACGATTAAGATCATTAGGTTTATCTGAAAATGATATTCGAGTAAAATAATCAACAGTATATATATATATATTAAATTGAAATTTTTATTCTTTTAATAGTTATTAACAGAAAAATTACCATTACATGCATTTGAAAAATTAGCTTTAAATGAAATTCAACATATTGTTGAAGTAATGCGTGAAGCTGATGTTGAAGAAAATGAAGATATAACAAATGGTAATACAATAAAACGAGCACCAAAGTCAAAATCGAAAAAATCGAAAACGAAAGAACAACCATCAACACTTGAACATTGTATAGATACAAATAATAATACATTAAAACGAACTAATGATTTTGATAATATATCACAAAATTCGGATAATAATAGTACATTAAAAAAAAATTCAACAATATCATCAAATGGAATTCCAAGTGTCCCACAAGTTCATATGGGTGCTTGTTTTATGAAATTATTTAATGAATGTCCATTACAAATTCATGCTAGTTATTGTTGGATAAATAATGAAACGAAAGGTAATTATTTTATTGATTTGAAAAATCATAAGAACCATTATTTAGGATTAATTATCTAGAAAATTCTCGAGCATTAAAAGAAATCTTTGTAAATCAGCATTTTTGTACAGAGTATATTTATTAATTTTCTGAAAGGCTTCTAGGACTGTTTATCTATTTATTATTAGATATAGATCAAATTTCTTGCCTAAAATATATATATACATACATTTTCTTTCTTATATATGTAATATGCTTCTTTTCCATTATCATATTTAATTCATTAATTTTAATCTCACTTATGTTTTTCGTCTCACTTGTCAATAATTACTCATGCGAAAATAAAACAATCTAAACATTGATTATTTTGTCAATAAGGAAGAGAACATGTAATAACATAGACATGTTATAATAATAATAATCGATTCTTTTTACCTACCAAAAAATCGAATATAATACATTACATATGTCAACAATCTCTTGTAATCAGTTGTATTACGCATTAACTATTTCTTTCAATAGATAAAAATTGATTCTAATTATATATTATTTTTCTCCTTTATAATTATATAATTATACACTAAAATAAGAAACACATTTTTTTTCATTTATCTAATAGATCAATTTGTATTAATTGCAACTGAAGAAGGTGTTTATTCATTAAATCTTAACGAATTACATGATGCTACGTTAGAATTGGTAATCAAAAAAAATCGTTTCTTTTTATATTATCATCATCTATTCTCAATTTTAGTTATATCCTAGACGAACAAGTTGGTTATATGTAAAAGATAATATTCTTTGGTCAATATCTGGTATTATAAAACATAAATTTCTTTTCTTTGAAAATACAAATATTTTTTATCTTCTTAGGAAAATCAAATAGTTTATATCGACATGATCTTGTTTTATTAATGCAAAATAAAAGTACAGCAAAATTATCTTTACAATTAAATAAAATTCAAATTCAACAAAAATTTGAAAAATTAATGCCGAAGTAAAATAATAGACATAAAATTTTTTTGTCATATGTATTACTTTTTTGTTTATTTAGAAAATTAGCAACATCTCTTAAAATTAATAATACACGTGGATGTACTCGCTGTTGTGTTGGACGTAATCAATTCAATGGTTATATTTATCTTGCTGGATTATTAACGAATGAAATATTTCTTATGCAATATTATGATCCATTAAGAAAATTTATGCATTTAAAAGTAACAAGAAAACTTTTATTCGATAAAATCAACTATATTTTTATTCGGATATTAGACTGTTCCGATTTCAATTCCTGCTGAACCGAGAATTTTTGAAACGATTTTTTCACCAGAAAATCAATATGCTTTTGTATGTATAGGTGTTAGTAAAAGGTAAATCGATTTAGAAAGCTTTAATAAAATTCTAAATAATTTTGTATATATAGTAAATCTGCAACGAATTCATATAAATTTGCTGGTATTAATTTTGAAACAGAAAAAATAGAAAATCTCGATGGTGGTATGTTAAATGATTTCTTTTTCCACTTAGAATAATTGAGAGTAGAGTTATAAGTCATTCATGATACTCGAGAAAATTAAAATTCTTCTTCTCTAGCAGCGGCGTCGGAGATTTAGGCTAGGGTGAGCTCAGGATTATATATATAAGATCTAAACAAATTTCAGGGTGGGCTGAGCTCACCGTTGGCGCCGCCACTATTCTTCTCGTATACTATCCTTCTTAAAATCTTATTATTTGATACATCTATTTGTCCAGACTCTCAATGACATCGTATAAACTTTCATATAGATTTTAGTCTAATATGAGACTATTATTTTTTTGTTTTCTAGCTTCTCTTCTCTCCGATGTTTCTCATGTGATACAACATGAAAAAGATGCTGACACGGTGCTTATTTGTCAAGGAAGTAAGATAATACATATGATAAATAAATTCTGGAAAACTAATCTCTGTATTTATTTATTGTTTTAGATCATATTAATATTGTTAATTTTCAAGGTAAACCTAGTACAAATCGACAAACATTATCAGAACTTTATTTTGATTGTGAAGTTCAATCATTGGGTAAAAAATAAATTAAATAATAATAATAATTTTCATTGTGTGTTTTTTCTCTTCTTTATTTAAGTCTGTTTACAAGATAGTGTACTTGCATTTCATGAACATGGTATGCAAGGTAGAAGTTTAAAAGATAATGAAATAATACAAGAAGTTTTTGACGAGACTCGTTCATTTCGAGTTATTGGTAGTGATAGGTAATTATAGACGAAAATAATGATTAATATAATTTTGTTTTTTTCAAAGAATGATTGTGTTACAAAGTCGTCCTGCTAATCTATCACAATCATCTAGTGCATTAATTACAACACCATCTGATCTACATATTTTAATGGGTCACGAAAATACATAGAGTTCTATATATATATATATACATAAATAATCGGCCGGTAGTATTCAACCAAATATATGTCATTTTTTTAAAAGTCAACTTTTTTTTTTCAAATATAACAGTGTTTTGTGAAAAAGATAAAATATTATTTGCTTCAATTATATATTTGTGTGTGTTTTCCAGCGTCAGATTTTTCACTCCTTTATATTTCTTTTATATACATATATTTAAGGGCATCGTGCAATATAAGTTT